CGTTCACACATTTTTCACGACGTCAAGACTAACTAAGGATCCAGGAACAGTTGGAAACGAAGTACGATTGTTCCCGTCTTTGGAAACAGTCTGGTTGAAGAATAGGGCTCCTTGTAGGGATGGTGAGTAACAGGGCCACCCACATGCAGGTGCCCCGTCAGTGTTGTGAAGCGGAGCACACTTGCAGTGAGAAGAAGCCATTGCTGACGAAGTTGTTAATCACTTCAGGTATCCTCTTTCTCCAGTTCCACCTTTTGAAAACCTCTAAAGCCTTCAGTCTGTTCGTTACAGGGATTCCATTTTTAGATAAGTTTCTGTCACCTCTGAGAGAGTTCATTCTGATCATGTGGGAGGCCTTAGGTGGCAGTGCAGGTAGTTCTGCTGCAGACTTTTGACCCTCCTGTAAAGGCTGAGTTGGACTTCAGCGCCCTCTGGGCTTCCTCCCTCCCTGTCTGCTAGCTTTTGCCAGTCTGCGGAGTTGTGTACCTCAGGGTTGATGACCCCGTTCTCTTTATAACCAGGTCAAGTGGGCAGGTGCTCATGGAGGTGAGTGCTGGCGATCTGGTCTGTTGGAGCAACCCGATTTTTAAGGAAGAGTGGACGGAAGCGGGCACGGTCAGACGCAGCTGAATCGATGTCAGCGTGGGGACGTTGGGGGGGAGGGGGTAGCTGTGTGGGGCTTTCCGTTAACCCGTGGCACCTTGGCAGCGTTGGTTTTCGTTGGTGCTCATTTGTACTTGAGCACTGTGCAGAGCGCGATTTCTGGCCACTTTCATTTCCTTTGAAGCCCAAAGAGTGGTAGGTTCTTCGGCGTCTGCTTCCCGTGTCTGCTTCTGTGTCAGACGCCTCTGGTCTAGGCCCCTGCCGTTGTGCAGTTCATCTTGCTGGGGTAGCTCTGGCTAGAGCCGGGGCTGTGGGCGCCCGTTCCTAGCAGAGCCTCCTGGTTGTTTTCTCATTGGGAAGAACACGTGCGTCAGTTTTCATTTCTCTTCGACTCTGGCTGACTCGGCTTGCCCGCTTTTTCTTTGGAGAGCGTGAACGTGTCAGAGCCTGTAGTTTGTTCCTTCCGTGGTTATTTATGCAACACCCCCTGTGGCACTTTGATCTGGACGTGATCGCACTGGCGCCTCAGCTCTGTAGAAATGGGAGTAAACAGGTGACGAAGAGGGTCATACACAAATCTCATCGCCCCCACCTCTAAAGACGCTTTCCACATTCCGTGTGTAAAGACCTGAGTACCTTACTTTCTTCCTACTTCTAACTCGTGGTGGTGGTGGGTCACTGCCGTCAAGTCAGTTCCAGCTCCCGGTGACACTGTGGCTGCAGAGGACAGGTGTTGGCGCTGTCCTAGGTTCGGGCGTCTCTGACGGCCCCTCCCCGGATGGGATGCGTCTGAGGGCAGGGGCTGCCTTTCGCCATTCTCTTCGCAGCTCCCAGCGTAGTGCGGTGCGAGGCAGATGTGCCACAAGCAGGGGAGTGAATCACCAGGAGAGTACTCAGTAAGAGAAGGCTACAGAGAGCTCAGCCACGGTTCATCTTTTCAGCTTTGTGAAACTCGTGATTTTATTTGTATGCACACATTTCTCATTTGTGTGTTGATTTGGATTGGTTGTAGGGTAGATATGGTCAAAATCCATGCGATTCTGGGAGATCAGATCTTAAAGTGGTACTTAGGGAGCTGTCAGCTGAAATAAAGAAGGTTAGGCACCCTTTGACGGGAGAAGAGTCCTTGGGCAGCAAATCAGGATTGTGGAAGGAGAGGAAGGAGAAATTTCTAAAAACGCCTAACTCCTACTTTGCCTAACTTAGGAGGCTGGGGACAAGTTGGGGTGTCAGACTGAGGGACCGATGCTGTTTTTACCGACCCTGATTCGTCTCAGCTCCCAGAAGGGCACAGGCCCAATTGTTGCTGATGCCTTAAGTCAGGAATGGCAAGAAACTGCTGAAATGCTTAAAGAGAAGTGTCTTAGTTTGTGTCTTTAATGATTGACTTAATGCAGCCAAAATTCTGGAGAAGAAACTTCATTGAGTCTGGTGCAGTCCTTTTACTCTATTGATTTATAGGCTTATGTGTTGTATCAGTTGTTTAGTGCTGTGTTACATTCTGCCACGAAGGTAGTAGCTTCAAATACCCAGGTCAGTTCTCTGCTGTGTCCGTGGCTTCGGGAGGCCGGATGCAGGTTAGCCATTGGGCCCTCTGCTCAGGTTCTAACTGGCTGAAGCTGGCCGTTCATCTGAGCCTCCAGGCTTACTTGTTGGCAGAATGTGGTTCTGGAGGTTATAGGACTGAGGTCCCCGTTTTCTGCTGGCTGGGAATGGACATCTGCTCTCAGCTCTTGGCTTCTCTGGTGGCCTTCTCACAACATAACGGTTTACGTCTTCAGGGTTGACAGAAGGGTCTCTAGGGAAGGACTTGGTCCCTCTTTTAAGAACGGTGTCTGATTAAGTCGGGCCCGCCCAGGCTGTCTCCCATTTTGATTAACTCACAATCGCATGGTTTAGAATCTTAGTTACATCTGAAAATCCTTTCACCTGTGTCATAATTTAATCATGAGAATGAAGTGGGTTGTGTTCACAGTCCCACCCATACTCGAGGGAGGGACTTCACAGGGGTGTATACCAGGCCTGGGCCATCTTAGAGCCTTGCCTGTCACCCCCCTACACACACACACACAATGTCGCGTGATTTTGTATGTGGTTTTATCTCACCCAGTGGTGAAGCCTGGTGTGGGTCAAGCCCATCTGTCATTTTGTTCCAGACCTGTGTAAACTATAGGGTTTGAGTATAGCTTTTGTCCACTGATTGTAGTTTCTTTTTATAGACAAATGCAGCTTCTGACCAAAGGGGATTGTGGGCAGGAGCTGTGTCCATGGGAGCTGTGGTTGGCACTTTTCACTAAAGTGGCAGAAATATATTTTCAAAAGAATGAGGAACAAAGGAGAGGGCCCCTCACCCCTTGACCTCTTCTTTCCCAGCCGGTTAGTAGTACCCAGTGATCTGTAAGCGTGCTACTTGCATCGTCTGCTTTGGGTGGAGCAGTGGAAGGCAGGCGGCCTTGCTAGCAGACGGTGAAGGGACTTCTGTGCACACGGACAGCGTGAGAAGATTGCAGGGAAGGATGTAAGCCGGGCATGGCGCACCGAGGACCAGGCCGCTCAGAGGGAGGGGGGCTGCCTCCGAGCGGTAACGGCCGCTTGAGTTGAGCGAGGACTCCCTCAGTGGGCGTTGGCTTCTTCCCGGGCGCTCTCGTCTTCCTTTGAGCCCTCAGATTAGCTCCAGGCTCCCCGCTCTGCTCTCAGTTTTGCCGTAGGATAGCACTCCAACACTGTCCTGTGGTTGCCTGGTCGGGGGCTGTTTCACCTCAAATCAGCCGTTTGAGGACAGTGACCCTGTTTTCTCTTTTATCTTCTTTCCTAGTACGGCTCTTGGCCAGTAGGAGGAAATTAGTACGTGTTTCTTGCTTCAGCGACGCACCCTTCACTGTGGTAGAGACCTGACACGTGGTGCCTGTGGTGCAGAGAGGAACTGCCTCATGGCCACAACATGCTGTGGGGCAGACGGTCTCACCTGCCCTCTGCCCTCCCTTGTTTTGCTTTTGCTTTCACAGGGAGGTCCTTGGAAGTGTTTTCACTCCTGCCAGGGGGCATGCTTATCTGTTTACCAGGTTTGTAGCAGACCAGAAACAAAACATTATAAAGGGGCTGAGGGAAGTTGTCTTAACAGGGATGGTCACCTAGTCGGCACTGCAGGGTCTGGCCTCTTCTTACTTCTTGCTGCTTCCTTACCGTCCAGCCATACTGAACATGTGGGTTTTGGACTACACTTCTCTCCTGCCAGTTACTTCTCCGTAGTGTCCTATGTCTGTCTTTACGATAGCACTCACATTACATGTTGGTTTCCTTTTGTTTCTGTGTTGAAGTATATACTTAGGTCAGAAACCATGTCTGTCTGTTACAGGGTAGACATAAGTATGTGACTGAGCAAATGATGCATTGAAATTCTGACATTGCAATTGCCTTTAACAGCATGGTCTGGAGTCTTTAGTGTAGGGACAGGTCTGCAAACCCTGACCAGCAAGGGCCAGTCCCTGTCACCACACAGTGGGATTAGCGCTGTGCATGATGGTCAGCACATCATTAAAATGGGGCAGATTGAAAGCACATTCACTTCAGAGTTTTACGTATGAATTTAAGGGGAGTAACCCACAAGCAGAGCAGCTCTGGTGGCGCAGTGGGTACGACTTTTGGCTGCTAGCCGAAAAGTGCGGTGGTTTGAGCCCATCAGCTGCTCTGAGGAAGAAAGATGGGGCGGTCTGCTTTTGTAGAGATTACGGCCTTGGAGACCCCATTGGGGGTTGCTGTGAGTCGGAACGGACCCGATGGCAGTGGTTGGTTTGATGGGAACAGTCCAGTCCAGTGTTAGAAACGTGCACTCGTTTCCTTTGGGGCCTGTGATCTTGTCCTGTGTTCCTTGGGGGAATTGCTCAGTGGGGTCGATGAGCGGGGAGACCTCCACTCGAACCGTTTCCCATACCTGCAATTGCTGTAGCGGTGCGCCACAAGTCTTCCCAAACCTCTCACCCTCCCTTCCATGATTATTTGGAAGATTGATGAAAAATAGAAAGAAAAAATACTGATCTTAGTCTAGACAGACAGTCATCTTTCTCTACTTAAGAGGCATGATTTTACTGTGGGTTTTCTTCACATGAAGTCTGCTCTTAGGATTTCAGAGTTAACACCACCGATGTAGGTATCTAGGAAACAGGAATCCCTTGTGTTCTTGACCAGTGCTGTTTTGCCTTTAAAAAAGGGAAGTTTTTATAGGCATGTTGCCGGAAGCGGCCTTTGGCCCCCTTTGTGGGTAAGTTCAGAGCGTTTAATGGCTAACAGAACCGTCGGGTGCTGGAACCCAGGCTCCCCTTCCTGTAGTCAGGGTGCTCCAGCTTGGTGCGGCGAGCCGCGAACTGGCCTTTTCTTCTGCCTCTTTTTGCCACATTGCTCCCGGGGCCAAATCAGCACCTCCACCTGGCCATCCCAGCAAGGTGATTTGTGAAAGGGTGAGACTTCAGAGCCTGGTCCCTCTCCTCCCAGTGATCAGAACACTACCATCCAGAGGGTGCCTTCCCGGCTTCCTCGCAGCTTCTCGCCCATTTCCCTTGCCCTGCAGAGGCCACAGGTGCATTCTCAGCTGCTTCCAGGAAGGCCTGAGACGGGGTTCTTGGTATCTGCTCCTTATTTCTGCTGGCTGTGGCCCTAGGGGTTCTCTTGGTGGCCCTTCTTTAATGTAACCCAGCTGTTGCACAGAGCATGTGTCTCCTCTGGAGCGGCTGTTTGTCCGTCTTTGGGCCTTCATTACTGTCTGAGTAGCCCAGCAAGCTGCAGGGTAGCAGAAGGTAGGCTATGTGCACTCGTGCAGGAAGGGGAGACAGTTCACCAAGCAGCCACTGCTTACTCCCTTGGTACCTAGAGTTTGGTCGCAGTGTCTGTTCCAGAGAGAAAACTCGGCCACTTGCCTCTGGCATTTAGGATAAATGGGTAAAGTGTGATTGAATGTTCAAGAACAAAAGGAAAATAAGAAATGGTACGAATGAGTTTTTAACAGCATTCCTGGGAGCTGCTTGTGGCATCAGTCATTGGATACTACGGTTCCCATCGATTGCTCCCAGAGGGGCATGTTCTGGTTCTAGAAGGCCTTTTACCACAGAAGAAAGCAGGCAGCAGAACGCTGGGGTTGTGGACTCAGAAACGTATGTGCATGTGAGCCTGACATCGTGAAGCGGTTGCTGGTCAAGGCTGGGGACTTGGACAGAGCCAGCCCATTTTCTGTTTCTGTGGCAGAGACAGGTTGCCCGGCACAAGTCACCTGTGGGCGGGAAAAGCTCTGTGGTGCAGCAAGTCCAGGGCTCTTGGACTGGTACCCTTGTTGGAATTAAAACCAGGTGATATGTTCAGTGCTTTCCACGTATATTCTCTTGGTTTTGATACTCAAACTTGTCACGGGTGGCTTTCTAGAGGAGGAAATAGGTCCAGAAAAACTCCTTGGGGTGCTTGATGACACAGATGGCAGTCCGCGGGAGAGAACATCCTGTCTGACGTCTGGATAGCGACTGTTGGCCCTATACTAGTGTGTAAATTTCCCTCACGTGGAAATGTTTGAACCACTGGCAGCAAATTCTTCATCACAGTCACCTCCACTTGCTGCACCTGCAGCTTTAAATCACTGAAAGGCTTGCAGCCTTTTCCTGCCCTAAAGTCAGGCTAAATGAGAACCATGTGCACCTGTTCTGGGTCACCCACAAATCCGTAAAGATACACTTAGAAACGCGCTTCATTCATACCTTGAGGACTGGCTGTATGATTGTTGCCAGAGCAAGACTCACGGGCAGCTTTTGCTGGGTTTGTCTTACTACTTTGAGTTATCAGTGGCATTTCTGTAAGCACAGTGCCGCATATGTTAGCAGACACAGGTACCTGTATTGAGTGCCATTGACTACTGTTTTTGATACCGCCTCAGTCTGCAGTAGTTACAGAAGTTTAGCAGACCACCAATGGCTAGAGAAGAAGCTGCCGTCCTACTCCTACCTTCACTACTGCCACCGGTCGACAGTAGTCTGTGTGGGCCCTGGGGGCACAAACGGTCCACACTTGACTGCTGTCCCAGCCCTTGTGCTGCTGGAACAGACACTGCACGTGGAAGGCTGTCACAAGCAAACGGATTCTCTTGTGGTTTTGGAGGCTGGCAGTCTGAGTGCACGGTACTGGCTCTAGGGGAAGACTGTCTCTCTGCCTCTCGTTCCTAGGAGGATCCTAGCACAGGGACCCTGGGTTCAGAGGACGCACTCCGCTCCCGGTTCCTTTTGGTATTAGATGGTCCCCCTTCTCTGCTCCCTTCTCTCCTTTATCTCTTAGAAGATAAAAGGTTGCAGGCCACAGCCCAGGGAAGCTCCCGTTACATGGGACCAGGCCTGTGATGGGTCTGAGGGTGTTATACCCCACCCTTGAGCTGAACCCTTTTACGCCTGATGGGCTTACCACACAGATCACATCACAGGATATCATCATTGCATAACCTCTGAACCAGAGCATCGTGGCCCAGCCAGCGTGACACAATTCAAGCCATGACAACTGGTAGCCTAAAAGTCGGCAGTTCTGTGAGCATAGCAGCCAAGGAAACTGTGTGGAGCAGTCCTCCTCTGTAGCACACGGTCGCCAGGGGTCAGAATCGCCTCAGCCAGACCAGCTATCAGTTTCTTGGGGTTTGTGGGGTTTTGGTTTTGTGTGTGTGTTTCTGTACTTCCTTTGAATCTTCAGGCATTAACATAACATTGTTGCTGCTGTTGTTATGTGCTGTCAAATCCCCTCCTTGGATTTCTGAGGTGGTATCACTGCGGAAGTAGGTTGTCCAACCTTCCTTCCCAGCAGTGGCTGGGGGTTGGAACCACCAACCTTCTGGTTAGCAGTCAAATGCCTTAGGCACTGCGCCACCAGAGCTCCCGTTAACCTCAGAAAATAGCTGCCAAATGCAATCAATTTCGAACCTTATTTTGAAAATGAAAGAGCTGATTCCACTTGAGTGTTGAAGAAAGATCAAACCAGACTCACTGCCGTCAAGTTGATTCTGACTCCTGGCGACCCGCGTACAGTTTCCAAGGCTGTAAATCTTTACGGAAGCAGACTGCCTCATCTTTCTTCTGTGGAATTGTTGGTGGGTTCAAACCACCACTGACCTTCTGGTTAGCAGCCCAGTGCTTTAACTACTGTACCACCAGAGCTCCTTAGAAAGGTAGAAGGCATTGCTAGATTTTATTTATAGTCGTAATTTAACGTGAACGCTTTACTTTCCTCTAACTTCAGAGCAAGGCCCTCGTGTACTTTGCCCCCACAGGAGACGGCAGGTTTTCCTGACTGCAAAAAGAACATGCGTGGGGGTGGCTGCTCTGAGCTCTGGCTGGCTTCACGAGGTGGAGAGACGGTCACTGTCAAGGCTGTCCTGCAAGGCAAAGGTCAGACATGCTGCCACCTTCCAGCTTTCTACCAACTCTGACACCAGCCGTCCTGCCCACAGTACTCTGCTTGTCTGCTGGGTTCGATAATTCATTGCAGTGGCCACACACAACTCATAGGCAATACTCAAAATTTTGGGGGTTTATTAGGGAAGGTCCAGGTGACAATTCAGGTTCAGGACCACTCAGGATACAGTTCCTTGATCAGAACCGCTTCTCGGCTGTCCATCAGCCTTGCTTCCCTCTGGCCTCAGCCACTGCCCTGCTTGACCCAGCGTTACAAAGCTCTTAGCTCTGCTGTGCCCAGACAGGCACCCCACTCCACCAGCAAGCCTTCTGCCCAAAGGCACACAGCTCTCTCACTCCGTTGGGCTGAGAAGCCTGCCCGTCTGTCTCGTGCTGGTCTCTTGCCTGTGCTGCCGCTGTCTCTGAGCCAAGGAGGTCCAGTGCAGGGTTCTCAGATCCAAGGGCACAGTCCACTCCACTCCTGGCTCCTCTGTTGATGGCAGTGAGAATCCCCCCTTTTCTGCCTGTGGGAGGGCACATTTGGAGCTGCGTGGGATGGCAAGACTGACCCATCCCCACATTACGGTTCCCTACACTTTATTTCCATGGCTCCACCCCCACAAAGGCGTCATGTACCTTACTGACATTATTAGCGAGCTACTCAGTCCCCTTCTTGGTGGGCCATAAGCACTTCTTTGCGTCGTTCTACCCAGTTACGTGCTGGGAGTCACAAAGAGCCTGACTGGAAGAGCCGTGTTAAGTTACTCACTGCCCCACACTAGCCAGTGCATCCTTTCCTTCTCACAACCCCTTAGGGATACTGATACTTCGAACTAATCGGGTAACAAAATTGAGTGTAAATTTGTTAGTTCCAGATGAGTATCCCATTGCCATAAAACGTACCCCGCCACCTCCTGTCCTTGGGAAGTTATTCTCTGGTGTGTGAAGCTTTTTCCCAGTACCTTCTCTCCGCTCTCCATTTTTCCTTTCCTTTGGAATCTTCATTTAAACACTCATTTTCTTGATGTCTCTTGTATGTTCTTATCTTAGCTAACTTTGCTCTTTTCTGAGAAAATACCCCCCTGCAACCTTCTCTAAAGGTAAATTAACTCATTTTGCAGTCCAAGCATGGGATGGGGTGTGTGGCCAGGAAGTGGGGGGTCATAAAGGAGAAGGAAGAGGTTGATAGTCTCCTGAATCCTTACTTGTGTGTCCAACCAGTCTTCTTCCTTGAGCAAAAAGTTGTTTCGGTTTTTTGTTTTTGGTCATTCAGAGCCATTGTTGATCAATTTAGTCACTGCCTTGCTTATCAAAGACCTTTACCCTTTGCTCTTTATTGCTTGTCTTGTATCCTATTATGCCACGTCAAGATTTCGTTTTAGTTGCAAAAACAACTGTGTCCCAAATTTAGCATTTTAATTTTCTTTTTAATTTATAAAATATTTCATATATGCAAGTTACAAATGGTAAAGCAGACACTCGCATAATAATAAACCCACCACCTCGCTTAGAAATTAGTCCTTACCAACACACTGGACGCCCTTGTGTGACCCTTCCTGTTAGAGCCACCTGCTGGTCCTTACCTGGGCCTCAGGCAAACCCTGAGACTAAATTTTGTCTTAGTATCATTTTGCTTTCCTTTATGGTTTTAATGTAGACAGAATCAGCGCTATATGGTTTAACGTTGCTTGTTTCTGAACTTAGAATATTAACACTATCACACTTTAATTTTGTCGTCATTTTGAGACTCATCCATATTGAGGTGCGGGGCTCTGTTGGTGATCGGTTGTGCTTTTTAGTGTGTTGTCATTTGAATACACTGTGGTTTATCCCCTCTCTGTTGATGCACATGTGGATAGTTTCCAGTTTGTTACTGTTCTTAAGAGCAATGCTGCATGAATATTCTTGTAGGGGTCTCCTGGTGCACATTTAGTTGGCATTTCAGTGTCCCTGTAAAAGTCATCATGGCTTTGTATTTATGAGGCATAAGTCTTTGTGTATTTGCATCTCTGTGAACATAAAGCCACACTTAAAATGAGAATCACATTGCCTCCTACGGCTCTTAAAATTAAAAACAAATTGTCTGGTTAACATGCAGTAGAACCCACCTTTCTAGTGCATGGCTCTGTGCGTGTTGACAGCTAAGATGGGGTGTGGAATCAGCTTCAGTCAGGACCAGCCGAGCCCCGTCACCCTGCAGAGTTCACTTGGGTTGCTTCATCTCTTTCAGTTTTTAAACGAGCAGTTTTCCTTACTGCTGATTAATTTACTGCTCGTGGTTAAAGGCAGGATGCTTTTCATAAGCAGTTAAGTGCGTTGTGGGGACCTGAATGTCAGTGTCTGGCACAGCCCTGAGTTCAGGGGTGTGTGTGTGTGTTTTAACTACAACTGTGCGATAACTGGTTTGTAAATTAGTATTTCTGTTGGTGATTGTATTGAAGATTTATATGCAGCAAGAAATAAATTTGTTTTCTGAAAATGTATTACTGTAAAAAAATACTTACTCTTCAGCATATCTGTAGACTTCATAAAATTCCATCTAAAATATCAGCAGAAATATTTGTTTTTAGAATTTTACAGTTATCCTTAGATTCATAGGAAGATTACTGAAGAAAAGACAAAAGGGTTTTTTTTTTTTTTTTTCCAATTTAAAAGGGGAGATATTCCATAATCAATACTACAAAACCAAACCCACTGCCACCAAGTCAGTTCCAACTCATAGCAACCCCCCTTTGGTTTTCCAAGATGGTAAATCTTTACGGAAGTAGATTGCCCCGTCTTCCTTGCATGGAGTGGCTGGTGGGTTTGAACCGCCAGCTTTCTGGATAGCAGTCAAATACCTTAGGCACTGTACCCCCAGAGCTCCTTATAATAGATATTAAGGAATAATAAATAGGTCTTTGTCAGTGACCTTCATGTTAGTAAATGCAGTGGACATTTTCAGCCCTCATCGTACATGACCTCTCACTTGAATCCTTGAAACTCCCTTCCATTGGCTTTCACCAGCCAGACTCCTCGTCTTCCTGGGTGTGCCATGCACTCTTACAGCCAGCCATCCTGTGTTCCTCAGGGGTCAGTGCTGGGCCTTCTTATTCCTGTATGACCCTTTGGGGGGCGTTTTGTCTGTGGCTGCAGTTCCGGTCACTGACCATCTATGTGTATCCCAAAGACCCTACATTGCTGTTCCTGGCCTAGGAGCTGCAGCTGCTTGATGTGAGCATCTCAGAGTTACCCCTGGTTTTCAGGTTCTGAATATCTTTTCTGTTTTCACTGTTTATACTTAAGATTTTCTATTTTAACCATTGATCCATGTTTCCAGCTTAAAAGTAAGTGATGGCTAAAATACAGTACTTTGGTGGAACTAAATTCAGTGTTTGAAAACAATTCGGAGGGGAAAAAAATGGTCTTGGTGGTTATTCTTTACAGGAAGTTGCGTTATGTTAGAGTATTTTGGTTTCTTGAGTGGTCAGCTTTTAGATATTTTTTCAAAGTGGAGGTGAGGAGATTTGTTGATCGGTTGAAAGTCCAGTAAGGTAGAAATTTCGCTCACTTGAGTTTTGAACATGATCTTGGACAGCTATTAGATGTAGGAGTCAGGTGTTCAGCAGAGTGGTCTGGTTGGAAAGGGGAATTTGGCTGTTGTTTCTGTGGGGCTGGTGGTTAAAGCCACAAGATAACTCGGTAAAGCCAGTTGAGCTGAGCCCTGGGGTGTCGCAGTGTCTGGAGCTGGGGAGAACCAGCAAAGGCAGCCAGGGATAGAAGGAGACTCAGGAGAGGTGGTGTGTCTGAAACCTAGTGAAGAAGAAGCTTCAAGGAGATGCAGCAAATTGGGGGGATGGGGAATGGAGTTTAGGGCATGGGATTGCCTGTTATCTAGGCCCTGGGTGGTACCAACCAGATCATGCCCTTGGCTGCTAACCAGAAGGTTAGGGGTTTGAGTCCACCCAGACACACCTCAGAAGAAAGGCCTTTTGCTCTTCTGGAGAAATAAACTGGTGGAAGCCCTGCGGAGCACTGGACTGTGACATGGGGGTTAGTCATGGGTCCGAGTGGGCGTGGCAGCAACTGGTCTGTTTTTTTCATTCGATAACCAAGTAGAGAGGTCAGGTAATTAAGTGTCTCAGCCTGGAGGTCGAGGGTGATTCCTGGCTGGAGCTTGAAATTGGGGACTTGTCAGCATTTTGAATAGTCGGCCCATTAGCACAGAGTCAGCAAGGAGAGGAGGGCCAGACTTTCCCCTGCAGATTCAAATGCAGTGAAGAAGACTTCTGTATTGTCGCTTGATCCTGTGGGACTTTTCCTGAGAGAGAGTCTCTTATGGCCTAGTGTGTTGTTTTTTAAGTGTGGTCCCAGGCCAGCTGCATCAAGCTTCACCTGGGATGGTGCTAGAAATGCAAATTCTCGGGCCCCAAGCCAGGCTTACTGAATCGAGGGCGTTGGTGGTGTGGGCCATGCAGTGTAGTGTTTCATACTCAAGAGAGTCTGAGAAGCAGGCTTTGGTAAAGGGACTATCCCTCTGCATTCAGCTTTGCGTTTGCTTTCGTCAGGAGTCCTAGTGGTAGCATAGATCTTGACCCATTTGTATATTCGTTTCTAAGCTACGAGCTTCACGAACAGCGCATGTACTAAAAATCTGAACTCCCGATTTGGTGTGAGGCTAAGCTGTGCTTATCACTCTCAAGGGTGCAACCCCCTCTTCCGCACCCAGTCCGGCCAGCAGACATGTTTCCTCATGGACCCTCTGTGCCAGTGGACGTCTTTTCGTTTTCCCTTTTACTGAAGTGTAGTACTTGAAAGCTCTGACTCTGTGCTGGGGTCTATTATAAGGTCTTAATCTTCTATCCTCTTGGGAGCCACATCAGAATGAGCCTGCTCTGCTTTTCATTTTTCACTGTTTCTGGTCTGATTTTCATGTAAGTCCATGATGTTGTCAGAACGGAAATCTTTATGGTTACTTTATCAAAGTTTGGACTACTTCTGTAACTGCAGTGGTCTTCCATGCCTTGTCCTAGGTTGATTCTATTAATTGAAAACTAGTAAACATTTTCCGGAAACCAATCACTAACTTTACCTGGAAGAGAGAGAGAGCTCAGATAAGCTAAGCACTATTGAAGAAGAGGAGCAAAGTAGGAGGTCTCACACTCCCTGACAGCAAAACCTGCCGAATCCAGAAATAGCTCTGTCCATCTGAGGTCAGCTCATCTTTGGCAAAGGGCTGAAACCCATCAAATGAGGGACAGAGAGCCTCTTTAACAAATGGTGCTGGCAAAATTGGATATCCACTTGCAGAAAAATGAAACAAGATCTGTACCTCACACCATATACAAAAACGAACTCAAGGTTGATCAGAGACCTAAATGTAAAACGCAGAATTACAAAGTTCATCAAAGATAAAATAGGGACAAACCTTGGGGCCCTAATTATGGCATAAACAGACTATTAATATCAAGCACAACCCAAAACACACAAAGAGCAGAAGCTAATCTAGATGACTGGGACCTTTAAAAATTAAATTCTTATGCACATCAAAAGACTTCTCCAAAAGAGTAAAAAGAGAACCTACAGATTGGGAAAAAATATTTGGCTTTGACATATCCAACAAGGGACTTACCTCTAAAATTTGTAGAAAACTTCAACACCTCAACATTAAAAAGACAAGCAACCTAATTAAAAAATGGGCAAAGGACATAAACAGACAATTTACCAAGGAAGATATATTCAGGCAGCCAACAAGCACATGAGGAAATGTAATCATTGGCTATCTGAGAGATGCAAGTCCAAACAACAATGAGATACCTTTTCACACCACTAGTGATAGCAGAGTTCAATAAGACAGAAAACAACAAATGCTGGGAAGGGTGTGGAGAGATTGGAACTTTCATACACTGCTGGTGGGGCTATAAAATGGTACAATCACCTGTGGAAAACAGTATGGCGCGTCCTTAAAAAGTTGAAAATAAGAATCCCATTTGATCCAACAATCCCACTACTAGGAATATATCCCGAAGAGGTGAGACCTGGGACACTAATAGAGACATGCACACCCGTGTTCATTGCAGCACTGTTTGCAATAGCAAAGAGGTAGAAACAGCCTCAGTGCCCATCAGTGGGAGAATAAATAACCAGATTATGCTGCATACACACCATGGAGTACTGGGAAGCACTAAAGAATAACAAATGGGCGGATCACTTCGTTACACGGATGAACTTGGAGGACATTCTGCTGAGTGAAATAAGTCCATCACAGAAGGACAAATTGTTGTATGAGTCCATCATTATGAAAAGTCAAGGCAAAGTTTACACAGGGAAGGACATTTTCTTTGGTTATCAGGGGTGCGAGAGGAGGGAAAACTGCTGACTGGTTAAGAGACGTGTGTTGACTTGGGTGAAGGGAAAGGCGATATGACAAAATGTGTGACCAGCAGCACAGTGTCACTGAGGAAAAGGAGGACGCAGAGAGGTACACAGAGGCACAGGTAAACCCAGGTAAAGACTGTTACATACCCAGTACTGCATTATCAGTCATAACAAACATTGGTCCATGGGGGGATACATGGACAGACAGGCGAGAGGATCAGGTCTGGGTAGGCGGGTGGCAATATACCCATGACGATAGATAGGTCTGGCAGATGATATTCCTACGTGTGTATTTGTATGTGTTACCAGAATATCCATATACATTACAGAGCTAATGGGGCAAAGTTAGGAACTTCTTAGCCACCACCAAGCACTTTGAGGGAGTGAATTGCTGGGCCTGTGGGCTTGGGACCATGGTCATAGGGGGACAT